CCAGGGAAAAATAATAGTTCTAAATCATTATTTTAAGACAAAGTATATCAAGTTTAAATAGAGTAAAAATATATGTATTAAAAATGAATTTTATTTTACAGACTAATTCTCTCAGCAAGTAAGTGAACAAATTATATTGTTGCTTGCTTGCTTATTGCCTGATTTAGTGGTTTAATTAAATTATCTGTCCTTGAATCAAGCAAATTTTAACATTTATTCCAGAAATGTCGTCTGACTACTTGACGTCACTAGGAATTACGTCATGCCTACTTTATCTGACGCTCGCGATTTTAATCTACTTTTGGCTGACGTCTGAAAAAGAGCCCCAAAATCTTCCACCAACACCAGGCATTGAGCTGCCCTTTATCGGACACTTGTACCTGCTAAAGAAAAACCCACGGCAACAGTTTCTTCGCTACACTCAAACCCTTGGTCCAATTTTCAGGCTCAAAATGGGGAGCTGGACGACCGTTGTGTTAAATTCGTTTGATGTTATCAAAGAAGCGACGGTCAAGCAAGGTGAATATTTTTCTGACCGGCCGAACTTTGAAATTCTTATCAGTAAGTTCCCTCATTTGTACGACGGTATTGTCATGTCCTCGGGTGCTAGATGGAAACAGATCCGAACAACATCTTTGGCAATACTCAGATCTTTTGGCATGGGTAAAAATATCATGACAGAGCATATAGCAAACGAAGTCGCAGCTTATGTCAAAGAACTCGAATCAACTAAAGGTCGACCGATAAATGTAAAAATACTAACTAATATGAGTGTCGCTAATGTTATTTGTTCCGTGATTTTCGGTCAAAGATTTGAGATAACTGATCCAATATTTTTAAGGTTGATAGAAATGTACGACCATGTTCTTGGGGAATGTGCAGGAATCAACGCTGTTGTTGTGCTACCGGTGTTACGTCATTTGCCCTTTGACGTGCTGGGATACAATAAATACGCATCGACAGTCATGGAAATAAATTCTGTGATCAAGCATTTGGTGCAAAAAGTAAGAGATCGGAGCACCAACGAGGCAGATAATTTTGTAGCGGCTTACGTTGAAGAGATGAAAAAAGCTGAACAACTTGGTGAGTCAACGTATCTGGATGAAGCAAATCTCATCGGGTGTATTGATAATCTTTTTGCTGCAGGGACAGAGACCACCAGCACTACCATCTTATGGAGTCTGTTGTATGTCTTACATAATCCAGAAACACAGAAAAAAATCTTCAATGAAATTATGGAACATGTAGGTACTGATCGTGCACCGAATATCTACGATAAACCAAAGTTAAAGTATTTGAACGCTTTTATAATGGAGACACAGAGGACTACTAGTCTGCTACCTCTTAGTCTTCCACACGCCTGTAATCAAGACACTGTTCTCTTGGGCTTTAATATTCCTAAAGGAACACAGATACTGATTAATCTCGACTCTGTTCTAAGAGACGAGAAAATCTGGGGAGATCCTGAGAATTTTCGACCTGAAAGATTTCTGGACGAGCAAGGAAATTTAATAAAGAGAGAAGAGCTCATACCGTTTTCTATCGGTCGCAGAATTTGTCTTGGGGAATCCCTGGCTAAGATGGAACTTTTCTTGTTCCTGTCGTCCATGTTTCAGAGGTTTGAGTTCCTGCCTGCTGACCCAGACCATCTTCCTACATTAAATGAGATTTTTGGAACAACTACTGCACCCAATCCGTACGAAATCAGATGCGTGGATCGACAAAAATGCTGATTTTAAAACAATGTTTAATTTTAATATTTCTGTTTAGGCGAAATGACAATCGATAAAATAAACCCAAAGATTACATATATCATGTTTAAGTCTAATTTGACCTTATTGTTTTGCACAGTTTCTGGTTACCCTTTTTGTCTTCCCAGTGCTTTGTAAAGCAGTGTTTGTCTTTACTTATATTAGTTTAATTAAATTAAAAGGATATTTATAATATACTTTATTTCAGCACTATAAGAAGAAAAGAAAATTACTTGTTAACAATATTTGTTTAAAAATACCTTTTATTTTCTTTTTAGTGCATATAAACATCATATAATAATCTTATAGATTAAACAACTTGCGCATTGAATGAACGTAACAAATAGTGTATGATAACGCGAATTAATTAGAACCAATCTTTGATTTTAAAATATTAGTTTATTAAACATGTAAATTACCTTTTTGAAGAGTTCCGAAGAATAATAACTAATGTGTTTGGTGGTGACCCGTCAAAGCCAAAAGAGCGCCGACATAAGAGAGCAGACAAAAGAGCGCCGACATAAGAGCGCCGACAAAAGAGCTCAGACAAAAGAGCGCCGACATAAGAGCGCCGACATAAGAGCGCAGTCAATTAAAAAAGACATGTTGTACGCTAAACGAATATGACATGGTTAACACTTGTTTTAATTAAACAATCGGCGGTACGATAAAACGACATGTGTTTATTTATATAGTAGTATAATATGTTAGGAATGCAGTTTGACAATATTTCTAACCCAAGTAACACGGAGAAGATCGAATCACAGAAAGTGAAGGTTATTATATTGGTCGAAGGCTACAGATATCAAAAGGACAAAGCAAATGCTGATGGAAGTACGACATGGAGATGCTGCAAGAAAGATGGCTGCCGAGGACGGATGAAAATGCTCAACGAGGTTGATCTGTCATCATCAGAACACAATAACGCAGCTGCCATACCCAAATCCGCAGAACATTGCATAGATAACAATTCCTGAACCTCTTCAAACGACAACCAGAACCTTCAAAGAACAAATATGTTCAGCTGAACCGAAGATTGCAGGGGATTGCTTCAATCAATGCTAATGATTCAATGATGGACTACTACGGGGTATAGCCCACAACTTAGCAATATAAATGCAACTATAAAGAAACGTTTTATTAATTTTAAATTATTTTCATTTTGCTACATTTCATTTCAGTTTATATTCTCACTTTAGGCCTAACATTTAAAATCTTTGTATGTGTTATTAGAATGCATTTTGAATAATTGGACTCTACGTTGGTTGTACCAGTTTTTTAGTTAAAGAAACTGAACAATTAGTTTTTTAAATTAAACAATAAAGAGTTAACACCAAACGATGCCTTCTGATATGAGTTAATTTTCTTGTTTTTATTTATTAAATATGGTTTTTCGATTTTTAGTTTGCGCTCTTATGTCGGCGCTCTTATGTCGGCGCTCTTTTGTCTGCGCTCTTATGTCGGCGCTCTTTTGTCGTGCGCTCTTTTGACGGGGTGCCGTGTTTGGTCCCTTTGAAAACCTGGTAAGTATCATAATAGAAGAAACAAACTCAGATGGTATGGGAAAGACATTTAAAACGAGCAACGGTCTATCAAAGATCACGGTGCCAGGAGGTAGGTGAGGAAGGCATTGACGACATTGGTTGGAGGACATCAAGGTGGAGACTTAGCTGTATGTTGAATAATTACATATAGAAATTAATAAGCACCAGAAGACCGAGATAATGGCAAAGAATTATGAAAATATCAACGGAGGGGCCCCATCGAAATCCTCCCCCCCTCTCTCTCCCCTGCGGATCAAGTGTTTATTGATTGATTTAATATTTCAACAATGCACCGCACAATTCATTGACATCGAATCTTGACCTACAGGTCAAGTTTGAAGGAAATGGGCAAGTTAAATGTTGTTGAAATTTTCTACTACGACGACTCTAGAAAAAGTCCTAATGGCTGAGTCACGATTGACTCCGATACCGGCAATACATAAGCAAGGACATTTTAGACCTTAGAACTTGTGACACAGCTTTTGTACACCCGGCGTTACTGTTCACTGATCTTGCCCTAGAAAAAATTCAACAAACTAAAGGTAACACGCATGTGTCTAGGTAAGCGTGCGTGTGTAGGCATTAATGTGTGCGTGTGTATGTGTGGTTGTGTATGTGTTACCTTAAGAGGTGAAGGTTAAGTTCTTTCTTTAGTTGACGACAGAGAGCTAAAAATAGTTATATCGAAGGGTATAACCTTGTGCTAAGCGGGTTCTATTAGTATTCTTTGTGCGGAACGGTATGACGCACAGACATACACACACACACACACACGCAAGCACGCACATACATTCATTCGCACTGTCAGCCTAACTGTTATTGGTTATGTTTTAATTTAAATATACCCTAATTACAAAGGGAAGTGAACCCTTCTTCACTTGCTCCGTAGACAGTCAGGTTTGAAAGGGAACTTTACTTACTTTTTATTAAAAGGGAAGTGAGAAGTTTGTATGTTAAAATGATTATTTATCTGAAAGTGCAGCGTTTGTCTCTAATTGTGTCTATAATTTTCAGTCCAGGTATTTGTGTGTCTATTTTTGTTAGTGTCTTTTACTATGTTGCTGAGTCTGTAACGTTGGTAGGTCTGGATTTTTCGAGATTCTGTAAAATTTTGTGTTTTATACTTTCGAATCTGTATATTTATGTTTTAAGTTCTTGTGTGTATCTATGTTCCTGTTTCCAAATTTTAAATTTTATATTTTGAAACAATATGATTGTGTTTGTGTGCTTGTATGGATTTTTGTGTCTATGTGGTTGTATATATCTGCCTATGTGTTTGTATTTACATGTATGATTATCCTCGAGCGTTTCGTGTGTGTAAAACAATAAGTAATAAATGTTCAGGTATCTCCGAATAAGCGAGGGAAAACTGTTATAGCTGGTTACCCCTTATCCTCAGCACCATTACACATCGTCACAAAAAAAGCAAGACCACCACCCAATAAATAACCACATTTCTAATTTTTAAGAATTGTTGCCCTTGATATTTATTCATAACCATTATGGACAACTGCCATAAAATAAACAAGTGCCGATAATTTTTTTTTTAATTGTTGCCATTGATTTTAATTATTAGACACTATGGCTGCCTGCCATAAAATAAACAAGTGCCGATAACAGAGTTACACTTTACAACCCTGGCACCGGCGCAATGAACGAAAGTTTCAGTAACTGTAACACCGCTTCCAACACACCGCTTCATATAAAATGCAGACATTTGGAGTGTTGACTGGAACCAAAAACTAGTGTTTTATCCTATATGAGAGCCTGATAGTAACATTATATAAGGTAGGAATTGGTTATTTTACATGATTTTTACACATTCACACACACATACATACATATATATAAATCTAATATAGATTATATATAAGTTCAATTCTGTATGTTTGGTGGTGAAACGTTTCTAAAATGTTTGTCGTGAATACTTCTATGGATTTAAGTGTTAGATTATTATAGTGCTCATTGTCTAAATTTATGAGTTAAAAAATTACTATTGAAAGTCTTTAAAAACTATTTTCATTTTAAATAATTACAATAATAATTTTCAATTAAGAACATTACATAAAAAGTGTATCAACGTTTATAAAATTTCTAAAATTGTGTCTGAAATGTATTTGCATTTTGTCCTTTAGTTCTCATAACGTCCCTTGATTTGGAAAACACAGTTACTTCCCTTTAAAAAAACCATTAAATCGGGGGACGAAAGAATTTACTTTTTATTACTTTGCTTTGGTATTAAGAAAAAAAAAACATTATGAGCGGGGATTGGTTAAGTGCAATGTCGTTGGTATTTTCAATACTGCCTTTTATTTATTCTATACACTAAACATACTGTTTACAAATTATTTTTTTTAAATCAATAACATTAAATACGCCAGGTCCTACAAATCCTATACGTTTATTTTTTCAATTTACGGATAAGCTTGGAGTATTATAATTTTGTTCACTAAATTGAAACAGGCGCGACCTCCGGCGCCCCTGCACGGTTCGATTTGGCGCCCTGGGCTATCGTGTGAGCGGTATGCTGCATAATTTTGTTGTAAACAGTAAGATAGACTGTGGATAAGAAAGGTTACTATAGTCTTTAACCCTTTCCCCGGCAACATATTGGGTACCCTGTCCCCGGCAACTGGGTGGATCACACCCAAAGACTTTCTTATAGTAAATTCTTTTCTTTGTTCATTGTGGGGTGGGTAACAATACTGACACAGTTGAGGTATTCAGAGCACAGAGGCCATGGGGAACACAAGACATGTTGTTGTCAATGGGAGAGCTGTAATATGATACTAGTGGTTGATGGGATTCTCAAGCAAGAGTTAACCTGTGGGTGGACACATGTAGTGATTTATACTCTTTGCTGGAGCCCTGACTTGCAGTTACAGACAGAACTGTACTTTAGAGTTACAATAGGTTAATGAAATGCAGGGGTAAGATTGCCTGTGGGAGGACATATATGGTGATTGGTACTCTTTTAGGGAGCTCTGGAATGTAGATAGAGAAAGTGGAGCATTTTAGAGTAACTTGACATTAACCTCATTAGGAGTATGAATGAGGACAAAAAGGCAAAATAACTTTGTAATGCTGCTTGAAAGTTGATACTGGGTAATGAATTGATCAAACTGGGAGTGGGGTGGGTGTTCTACGGGTTGTGACCCTGAGAGTAAGGTTTATAAATAGCCATAAACATTATTGAGAACACAACAGAAACAAGTCTTGAATGCTTTTGTCTAAACTCAAGGTGAATGATAAAGGAATATATTTGCCAGTTTTGGTATAGCAGGTGAAAATTACCAACAAGTTTTGAGTCTGAACTATCAGTATCAGAGGTAGAAGATGAAGAATTGCAGCCATCAGTATCAGAGGTTGAAGATAATCCTGGTTCAGTTTCAACCAGCTCTGATGACAAGGTCTACCCAATATACTGCATTTCAACTATCAATAATGTGTCAACAGTTGGCACTCATAATGAAATGAAACTGATGGTGCAAAGTGAAGAAAAAGAAATATTTTCAGGAAAGACAAAGTAACAGTACACTAGACCACTGCCTGAAGTGCTAATCCCAGGAAAAATAAAAACGGCCTGACTCAAAATATTTCTTCTGTACATGATTTCAAAAAATAATACAACCAATATTTGACTGCATTAGCATTGATGGAGAGAAAGCAAGAGGAGACACTGGCAATCTGCAGAATAACAATTTAATTGTATGTCAATTCAGTTCTGCTTATGGAAGTTTTTGAAGGCAGAATTTTCTATGAAGAGACTCAGCAACCTTCTGGGTCATATTCACTTTCACAACAATTACAATAACAGTCCATCAGGCTCATGGTATATTTGCTTCCATTATGGTAGATATTCCATACAAATTTAGCAGGGTGTTATGTTTCTGGAGAGATCATTACTAATTGGGCAACTGGTTGATTTTAGAGGTGGGAGTAGATTTATCCAATACATACCAAGCAATTCCGATAAGTATGCCAATATTTTGTCAAAGAAAACAAAAGTTCCCTGCCAGCAAAAGGAAATGTCCAGTTATTTTAATTTTATCTAACAACTGTGCTCTCTGAGGTGTAAATTATTAAAACGTGTTAATGTTCTATTATTTTATTACTAAAGTTGATTACTTCAATCCTGTTTGATATTTTTGTTACTGAAATACCTTCAGATTGTTAATTTATAGTTAAACTTTGAAAATTTAACACAATGACTTAACCCACAATGAGTAAAAACAAATATTTAGAAGCCAGTTTATAAGTTATAAATATTTTTTCCATTCAAAATTGTGTACGGGTGTGTAGCACCCAGTTGCCAGGGACCGTATAAAAAAATTTCAAACACTCATAAAAAAATTTTTTACGCATATTTTTTTAATTTACAACCTCCAATGTGTTCATCCCAACCACCTTATAGATGGGAATGAGGCCCAGAAAAATTTATAAAACGAGACTCAAGATATGAGCAAAAATATAGCGACTTCGGGTCGATTACACCCAGTCGCCGGGGAAAGGGTTAAGTGAATCAAATCCGGGCGTCCTCCGGCACCCCGACAGAGTACTATTTGGCGCCCCGGGCCTTCCCGTGTACGCTATGGGACCTACGTTCGAGTAAGAGAGTTCAAAAGACTATGAATTAGTTGGGTACTATAGTCGTTTACTAAGTTGAATCAGGCGGTTACGCCACATGTCGTCATGGTGCGATTTGGAACCCCAGGCTAGACTGTGGACACTTTGAGTTATCTTTGCGTTTGTGTTTTCTTTGTATTTGAGTTTGGGTTTGCGTTTGTGGTTGTGTTTGCGTTTGGATTTGGGTTAGGGTTTGTTTTCGTTTGCTTTTTTCTTTGCGTTTGTGTTTTCGTTTGCTTTTTTTCTTTGCGTTTGTGTTTTCTTTGTGTTTGTGATTGTGTTTGTGTTTGCGTTTATTTTTGTGTTTTCGTTTGTGTTTGTATTTGCGTTTGTGTTACGTTTGCGTTGTTGTTTTTTTGTTTGTTTGTTTTTTGGTGTGTTTTGGTTTTGGTTTTTTTGGTTGTGATTGGGTTTGTGTTTGCGTTTGGATTTGTGTTTTCTTTGTGTTTGTGGTTGGGTTTGTCATTGCGTTTGTTTTTGTGTTTTCGTTTGTGTTTATTTTGTGATAGTGTTATGTTTGCGTTTTTTGTGTGTTTTGGTTGGTTGTGGTTAGGGTGGGCAATGCCGGATAAATGCTGATTACTAAATACACAAGTTATGGTCCTTTACAGATACGTTTTTCAGAGATGCCAGTATATGTATATATGTATATATGAATATATATATATATATATATATATATATATATATATATATATAAGCTAAGTTTGGGATGTTTGGTTTGTTTGCTACTCACACATATTAGATCGGGTACTTGCAAATAAGTTGTAGGGAAATTGTTCTTGACAAACTATGGTTTTCACTCTCTTTTTAAAGGGAAAATTAGAGTTATCTCAATAATCAATTTGAAAGTGACCAAAAACTGTCCGAGACTGGCAGCGGTCTTATATAAACTATGTATTATTTTTTTAAAATGTATAGTGCATGAAATTAGATCGACCACTTGCAAATGCGACAAAAAGTTGATATTTGGTTAGGAGATATCTCTGGTTCTGTAGGCATCTGAAAAAAAGCAGATTCTAAGATTAGTCCTATTAATAAGCTGTTAAAAATTGAAACGATTTACCCTTTAATGTTAATTTTTAAAAGTTACGCAACATCCTCAGGAATTTAAACTTTTATTTTTTCCCCTTCTTTGACTACACGCAAAAAATAAACGAAGTAAAAGTTTGGATTAAAAAAATCTAAAATTTAAATTCCATACGCAGTTTATCCTTATATGTCGGAAAAAATTTAGCTATAAGAATAGTCAATTTTTTTTCACAACTATTTGAAAACCGTTTATTGTTAATTTTAAATATTAAAATTGAGACCAGTGCTATCTCCTCACCAAATACCATTTTTGTAGCATCTGCAAATGGTCGATCTAAGGCCTCGGTCAGTCTAGGTCAGTTTTCGATTACTGCAAGCTCGATTACTGCAATGAATCTAATTTTCCCGTTAAAAAGTGTGAACAGGAAACTTGTTAAAGAATAATTTCACTGCAAGTATCCGACTTAATTGGTGAGAGTAACCAATAAACAAACCAAACACCAACTATGCTTTTATAGATATAGATACGCTTCTATTTGAATAAATTAAACGCATTGTCTTTTTTAGAATGGCTTTGGATTGGATTGTGTCAGTGGGAACGACGTCATGGCTTCTCTTAATGACGTTCGCAGTGGTGCTTTATTTTCTGATGACCAAAGAGAAAGATGTTCCTAAACTCCCACCAACACCTGGCATCTCACTGCCTTACCTTGGACACCTGTACCTCCTACAGAAGAACCCCAGACAACAGTTCCTTTGTTTTGCGAAGACATTGGGGCCAGTGTTTCGACTCAAAATGGGAAATTTCACAGTGATTGTTCTCAATACTTATGACGTGATTAAAGAAGCGCTGGTCAAGCAAGCCGAGTTTTTCTCACATCGACCTAACATTGACCTTCTCGTCCAACATTTCCCACACATGCTAGACGGTATCGTCATGTCATCGGGTCCAAACTGGAAGCAACAAAGAACAACATCTTTGGCGATCCTTAGAAATTTCGGCATGGGAAAAAATATTTTAGCTAAGAAAATCTCTGAAGAAGTCTATGTGTACGTCAAAGAACTGACAAAAACTAAAGGAAAGCCTACAAATATTAAAACTTTGACAAATATGAGTGTCTCTAATGTTATTTGTTCCATAATCTTTGGTCACAGATTTGAATTTACCGATCCGACATTTTTAAAAATGATGCACCTCTTTAATAATTTGACTGAGCAAGGATCGGGCGCTAATGCTTTTGTTATCTTTCCTTGGTTGAGACACATACCCTTTGACCCTTTCGGTTTTTATAAATTTGGATCTACAATTAACGGGATTAGAACGACTGTAATTAAACTTGTTGGAGGCGTTAGAGATAATGGCGATAAAGATAATTTTATAGCGGCTTACGTTGAGGAAATGAAAAAAGCTGAACAACTCGGAGAGTCAACTTATCTGGATGAAGCAAATCTGCTGGGATGTATTGAAAATCTTTTTGCTGCAGGGACGGAGACCACCAGCACCACAATTTTATGGAGTCTGTTGTATGTCTTACATAATCCAGAAACACAGGGGAAAATCTTCAATGAAATTATGGAACATGTTGGTACTGACCGCTTACCGAACATACACGATAAGCCTAGGCTAAAATACTTGAATGCTTTTATAATGGAGATTCAGAGAATTGCCAGTCTGGTGCCGTTTAGCGCCCCCCACATGTGTTGCGAAGACACAGTTCTGATGGGCTTTAATATCCCAAAAGGAACCCAGATACTGATTAATCTCGACTCCGTTCTAAGAGACGAGAAAATCTGGGGAGATCCTGAGAATTTTCGACCTGAAAGATTTCTGGACGAGCAAGGAAATTTGATAAAGAGAGAAGAGCTCATACCGTTTTCTATGGGTCGCAGAATTTGTCTTGGGGAATCCCTGGCTAAGATGGAACTTTTCTTGTTCCTGTCGTCCATGTTTCAGAGGCTCGAGTTCCTACCTGTTGAGCCAGATCATCTTCCTACTTTAAAAGAGATTCTCGGTGGTACGGCTGCACCTGGTCCTTTTGAAATAAAATGTGTAACCAGAAACATATAGGGGCCTACAATGGACATTAAAATTTTAATCCCAAGTTTAAACATTATTTACTTCACCAAATTATCAAGAGTAATAACAAAGTTAATTAGAAATGCTAATATTTTTATGCTTCTCCGAAATAGTTGTGGTTTTTTTGTTTTTGTTTTTTTTTTCTCTCTACTGTCAAAATATGTATCAACGGTTTGTTATTATAAGTAAGGTAATTGTGTAGCAGTTTTCCTAATTCATTCACTAGCCTGTTTAGACTATGTTTAAAGCAACTTCTTTGGTGTCTTAAGTATAAACAACGACGCTCTCATAATCAGCATCATTTCCCGTTCGTGCCCAAGACAATTACTTTTCTGTAATTTTTTTAATGTGTGACTCGTCACAAATTTGACCCCGCTCTACGATCGTAAAAATTTTGCGAGAACCACAGCTCACCGGACTGGGGGGGGGGGGGGGGGGATACGATAGCGATATGGTGTGTTGCGCATGCCTGGAGAGCGAGTGGAGGTGCGGGACGAGGATTTGACAGTCGGCTTGCGTCGTGGTGGTGTCCACGTAGAGAATAAAATATATAGTTAGTGGTTCTCACATTCTCTGCAACACAAAGCAAAAAAAAATGAAAAGAGTAGAATTTAGTAGACCCTTGCATCATCGCCAGACAGACAGTAATATTGGAATACCACGGAAAGAGGAAAGTGGGTGTGCCAAAATAAACTTTGTATAGATCGATTGTCAGTGAAGCAGTTCAGGTGCCGTGGATCCAACTCAGATGAATCTCTCAGAACCCATTAGCATAGAGAGGTGTGCTCCAAATGAGGTCGACTGTGATGATGACAAAATTGACTGTTTCACTATTTCACGTTTATATTTCTTTTTAACGTTTCTTACCAAGATAATATTTGCGTGTTCCATATTTCAACCATTGAAAAAGTGTACATTATCATGTAAAGGTTTGTTTTTGCAGTGATGGGTTGAACGATAAGATCCTTCTTACATTCAGTAATTCTTCTTTCATTTTCTCGAAATGTTTCAGATACCCACTGTTTGCACCAGTATCTTAGTCTCCCTGCTGGTACATCTCGTAAAACTGAATTTGTATTTAATGCACGCATTCAACGTCTTTAATGTTAAATGAGTTCTTCAATTGGGATTTTCAAATTCTCCCTTAGCTGTCAAAGGACACTTTCAACTCACTCCAACGAATGAATAAATTTTTAGTTGTTTTTTTTATCTAAAAAATATTTTATTGAAATTTTTAAAATGTAAACATTTAATTCATTTCTTTCTTGCTTCCAAAAAATATTATATTGTATATGCAAAATTAACAAGAAGCAAATATCAAAAATATAATACTAACTAGTTGAATAAATTAAGTATTTTTGCTAGTTTGTTGATGATATTTATTTGCTCTACTACATAGTTCATTATTAAAGCATGTTGGTTGTTTTAATCAGTGCCACAACTGCTCTGAATGGTCCGTATAAAATGGGCGGTGGTAGTATCCTCATGTATTGAAGGCATTTACCGGTACAGTGTGTTATGATGTATGTTTTAGTAGATATTGAATTGAGTGCAGGTTGGTGCGAAGAACATATGAACAAATTGATATGATGACAAGATTTAAAGTTAGTGACGTTTTAGGGTAGAGAGTTGGTTGCTATGAGTTTGTGTGTGAGAGAGTCGAATCTTGGTCGTCGGTGTGAAAGGGCGTGTGCTGGTTGGCATGACCCAAGTTGAGAGATAGGTTCTAGGAATATAGATACGTGAATACAGTAATAAAGATTCGTACAAGAAGTATTTAGTTCATCTTATCTTAAGCGTCGTTGATTTGTCTGAACGTGAGACAGCCTTATTGGTTCTCAAGGTTTAGTACTCTCTCCCTGGTATTGGAGATAAGCTAAATGGTAGTTGGCTGAGTCAAGTGACTCAAACCCTCTCACTGCACAGCATAAGCGTAACATGGTGGAGCAAGCGAAACAACGATAGATAGCCCAACGACCGTCCTATGAAGACTCGTTTGTCTGAAAATCCGACTTGAAAGAAGAATCTTTTCTGAAGTTTACCCGTGTTGTGAGGACTGGTGGAAATATATAGGAACCAGATAATCATCGATATACGTCGTATCAGTACAGCACATTCGCTGGATAGTTCTACTGATAGAACGTACCTCTGGAGATTACAAAGATTAATTCCACTACGGACATTTCTGATTGTGCACCGTTAGTCAGCTGAATATTCTGATGACCTTTGTCAGCTGTGCAAGTGACGTCGGCGCAACCTTGACCGTGAACCGTTAACAACATGGCGCCGGCGAGAAGAAACTGAAGTTTCGTGTATAAACATTGATCCGGATCCTGTATCAACGTGAATTACCTCATTTGTGGAGAACTAGAATACATCGAGAAGAATCTGTGTGTCTGGACGTATTGTACAAGCAAGGGAATCTGTGTGTCGGGACCTGGATCTGTGTATTCGTTTTTTAAGATAAGTGCCACCATTTTCTAAGTATTTAGTAGAGTACATCTCTGTGGGTTGTTGCACCACATTGTTTGAGCTATCATATATCTAGATCTATATTAGTTGTATATGTTAGGAATTGGATCTAGATCTAGATTCTGTGTTTGATCACAGTTTAATGAATTTAATAGTGATTTAGCTAGTAGATCTACATATTATAAGTTGAAGGGTCATATATTGTGTCATATCAAAACTAAATAAGAGTGTTGTTGTGTGTAAGAAGGTGATTAGTCACTTCTTAAGCATGTGAATCTAGGACTTAGATCTAGATTGATTTGGATCTATTGGTGGATAATATTATTAGATCTAGAATGGACACAGAAGAAATTAGAAAAATGTGTAAGTTGGGACAGAGTCTGGGTAAAGATTTAGAGAGCTGGGTAGCTAGACAAATGAAACTAATAGAAGAGACAGCTAGTAGGACTTATAAATGTGAACTAGCTAAACAGGAATTACATATAGATCTGGATCTAGAGAAAGTTAGGGTTCAAGCTAATGATCAAGCTAGAATGGAGAAAGAAAAAGTAAAATTGGAATATGAAGCGAACTTGGAACAGGCTAAAGTAGATAATGTGGGCAAGAATATAACTAAGGAGGTGAGAAATTATGAAAGTAACATTTTAGGGAAGATTCCAAAATTTGATGAGTGCAAGGATAACCTTGACTCGTACATAAGGAGATTTGAAACGATAGCACGAACCACAAATGTTCATGAGTCACAGTGGGGGACACAGTTATTGGTATTGTTAGGAGGTAAGGGATTGGATGCATACCAGGGTATAACAGAAGTTGAGATGAAAGACTATAGAATTCTCAAAAAGACTTTATTAGAATATTACCACCTAACAGAAGAAGCCTACAGAGTAAAGTTCCAGGAATTATTGCCAGAAAACACAGAGGATTTCAAAATCTTTACAAATAATATTAACACAAGTTTTGATAAGTGGTATGATGCATCTGGATTAATTTGACAGTAGAAAATTTGAAAGAATTTATTCTAGTTAACAAGGTTTTGACCTCAGTTCATTTATTTGGATATCTTCAAGAAAGGAAACCCAGAACTTTAGCTGCATGTACTGACCTGTGTCAAAAATATCAGGCTGCCCATTCACATAAAACCATTAGGAAAAAGACAGAATATGGTCATATTTTTTTAGCTCGGGGAGTAGAAAGAAATTGTAGTAAAAAGGTAGACAACAGGAATATCAGAAATAATAATGCAAGTCAAAACGTAGTTTCCCAGGGATCATATAAAACCATTCATTGCTATAATTGTCAAAAGGTAGGTCATTTATGGAGGAATTGTCCTGATAGGGTTAGAGTTAGGGATGAGGTAGGAACTAGACCACAAGTTAGATGTTTTGGTTGTAATAGGTATTGGCATATGAGGAAAGATTGTAGAGAATTCCAAGGGTCAGGGAGAAATAGTTATAATCAAGACCAGGATAGTGTATACATAGCAGTGTTAAATATAAATTGCCAGGGAATGAATACTTTCAAAGCTTCTGTGAATAGGATGAATACAGTAATAATCAGGGATACTGGTGCCTCTATTATTGCTGTAAGAGATAAATTTGTTAAATCCCATCAGTACACTAATAAAAGGAAGTGTGTGAATGTGTTTCTAGGTAAGAGCTATAGTTGGCCTGTGGCTAGAGTTTTTGTCAGATCAAACCATATTACCGGATATGTAGATGCTCTGGTTTTTAATTAAGGCCCGTATGACTTGATAATAGGAAATGTTCCTGGGGTAAGAGATTATAATGAAAGTAGTAAAGTCCAGAACTTAGAAAACAAAATCAGTATCCTTGAAAGGGAAATAGGAAAACTTGTAAGTAAAGTACAGGAGTTGACCAGTTTAATAAAGTATAATGGCTCTGACAAGGTAGATAGTACTAAGATAAATATAGGAGATAGGAATCAGAATAGAAATAGAAACAGAAAGTGGTGTAAGAAAGATGATAATGAACAAAGTAAGGCACAATGTTTTATGGCTAGTTATGGGGATGGGGAATTGAATGACTTACAGTGTGCTCTAGCTCTGCTAATGGAACTGAGACTATAAAAATTAATGATCCAAATTGAGTTTGGGCTGACATATTTAGAGCAAATTTGCCTGATGCTAGTGATTGAATTTTTTTTCTTAAAATGAGGTAATTGTCAAAGAAAAGACTGTAGTGTAAGGTATGATATATTTAGACATGTTGATATGTTGATGCGCCTGGTTGATAGTACTCTGGGGAGTTTTGTTTGATTAATATATGACGATGTGGGTTAATGAAGCTTTGACATAAAAGTTGTCCTAGAGATATTATACTTATGATAATGATAAGTAATGATAATATGATAAGTTCTTTTTGTTGTGATATGATGATTACACTAATGTTATGAACTAATAATGTCTATAGTTACTTTGATGGGGTTTGATTGCTTTTGATATTGTATGTGTTGATATGATTATGTTTACTTCTCTAGGTTGATGAGAATCTTAAGTTACCTGATCCATGATGTGGAAATATTATGTTGTACTATAATGATTTACTGAATTGATTCTTTTTCTAGGTTGAGAGAAGTCTTTATGCTGAGTTGATTTGTTTATTTCATTTGTTAATAGGACTTTATTACAGGAGATGAAGGATCCAGCACCTTGTTGATTAAGCTAGTTGCATTTATATTGTATGTAAAGATGGGAACAACCACAGATGTCCACTAAATGGTGGCACTGGGGGCTCTGTTCGCCATCGCAAGTTGTGTTGGTTTAAACTAATATGGTGTTGGGTAAAAAAATTCTATTGTAGCAACTAGTGTCAAGAGATGGACATTGCTGAGTATGATGATGATGTGAGGTGTGTGAAAACCCAAGAATACTCATCTGAGGGAGAGATTCCAAGAGAAACTATTAGTTGAATGCGAGTGATTAAAAATAAAATTGTGTGGCAGCAAAATTACAATGTAGTGTAGTAAGTAATTAGGACTGGGAAATAGAATGAATGTTCATGTAAAGCACCTAGTTGATATTGTTAGGTTAAAAGTATGTTGGAGATGATATGTTGGTAGAAATACGTTGGACCTTGTGAAAATGCTGAAGCTAATGGGATTAGCTTGAATGGAGAGGGGGGGGGTAATGTTATGATGTATCTTTTAGTAGATATTTACTTGAGTGCAGGTGGGTGCGAATACCATAGTGAACACATTGGTATGATGACACGATTGAAAGTTAGTGACGTAATAGTGTACAGAGTTGGTTGCTATGAGTTGATGTGTGAGAGAGTCTAATCCTGGTCGTCGGTATGAAAGGACGTGTGCTGGTTGGCATGACTCAAGTTGAGAGATAGGTTCTAGGAAGATAGATATATGTAGATACAAGAATAAAAGATTCGTGTAAGAAGTACTTAGTTGATTTTATCTCAGAGCGTCTTTGATTTGACAGAATGTGGGATAGCCTTATTGGTTCCCAAGGTCAGAACTTCTCTACCTGGTATTGGAGATAAACCAAATGGTAGTTGGCCGAGTCAAGTGACTCAAACCTCTCACTGCACAGCCTAAGCGTAACACTTGTCAAGCTGCACAGGTGTGGTGCTACCATGCAACTATACCCCTCAATTTCGGGGATGACCAAGCTTTTTAGTGGGTAAAAAAATACGAACAAAATAAAAATGCATTTTTTTTAAAATATTTTTTCTTGCACCTTGACAGTGGTTTTGGAAAAAAAATCTAATATAACAGTCATTGCTCTACAGTAACTATCACATACTGTTGAGTTGAAGAATATTTTTTAAATCTACAAGAGCTGTAACGTGAAAGATAGGCAAACGTTTACACTACTTCCATGACTTATTGCCCTTCTTAAAATAGCCTAAAAGGGTGTTTCCATGAAGCACTTTTAAATAATTGTATACTAAGTAAATGAAAAAGCAATCGCTTCTCTTAATATAAATAATTTTGCACTAAGTCAATTAAAGACAATTGCTTCTCTTAATTATTATTTAAATAAGATATTAAATAATGGGATAGCTATAAAAATGGATATATTTAAAATTAATAATAAAAATAGAAAAAAATCATTAAAAAATAAACAGAACGCAAGAAACCAAGAGAAAGAGCTGTTGTTACAAAGGGTCCGCACGAATGGTAATGATGATAATGTTGATTGTTTATTTCACATTTATATTACTTTTTAGCTTTTCTTAATGAAGATAATATTTATACCTTATAATATCTTATTTAAGATAATCTACAATGATAAAATTAATTCTTAGAAATTTTTATGTAAAAGTTATGTTATTGCGCAAAATTAAATCCTACTGGGGGTGCCTGCAAACTCGCCTGATTTAATTAAGTGAAAGACTATAACGCACCATCTTTTGTTGATGTTCAAATCTCTCCTTTTGTGTTACCCAGTGATGCACAATCCCTTACAAGCGTCACTTTTAAAAACAATATTGGAGGGGAGGGAATATAGTAGTGATTGGAGAGCAGATGATGTGGTAATGATTGGATGCGGTGTTTAATGATGGTGATGACTAGAGAGGAATAGACAGGTAGTGATTAGAGAGCAGTGGGGATGCTAGTAAAGGAAGAGGAGTAGATGGTTTGTGATTGTAGTTGATTAGCAGTAGAGATTTTTGAGTTGAGGTTAGGGAGGTTGTGATTTGACGGAAGTAGGGTATAGTGATTGGATGACACTGGGGAGATAGTCATAAAGGGTAACAAATGAGCTCTCACTTTCCCTAACGCCAGTTTAGGATAGTGATGTCTTTTCGAAAATAAAATCAAGTAAATGTTAAACAAGTTTCAGATACAAAAAAATACTCTCACTTTCAGCCTAAAACGAAGTTTTTTCAGACGCATGTTGATAAGAACCAGCAAGTCAAGAGACATGTTTAAGTAGCTAATTTTTCATCAGCCTTTTTATAGGGAGATTATATTTTGGGAACCCATTGGTCAGGAGCTTTTTGTCGCGAGTCATGATGTCGCAGGGCGCACATTTATCTAGAACTCTTTAATCGGGACCATTATTGTCTAGAGCCAGTACGTCCGGGAAGCTTTGTTATCTGTAGTCATTTTATTGGGACCTATTTGTTAGGGCTTATTTGACAGGGTTGGTTTATCGGGGTCGTTTTGGCGATACATTCACATTTATAAAATTTATAAACAAGACACAAAATATATAAACAATAAGGACGCTTTTTTTATTCCATAAGAACAGATCGTTAAAAAATAATTTTATACAGTAAATATATTTTTCAGACAATACAAAAAGAAATAAAACATAATAACTTTAGAGAACAGCCATTGTTTGACCAAGTGAACACACACCTGGATATTACAAAGCTGACAGTCCTTTCAACAAATTATATCTTTTCCCATTCGTGCCCAAACCACATGGGGCAGATAAAGTACGGTCAATCTGCATTTGAAAGGGTGTGGTCAGCACTATGCCCAGCCGTCTTTGTTTCCCTAACTTGAGTTAGGTACCCATCAGCACACTGGACTCAGGACTAGAACTCGGATTCGAACTCGAGATTTACATAATTATATTGAAATAAAAACTCTCTTAACCCCATATAGCAGACATAGAGGAGTCATCTTCTCTCTCTAAGTTAAGTAAATATTAGTAGCCAAATGTACAAAAAGAAAACAAAGGTCCTATTATTAAACAGCCATTTTCGTTCATAAATCCAAGATAAGATTTTTTTAATATCTCCTAATTATTGGGACTATGCTAAAATAATTACTTCTTTAATTTGATACATTTTTCTATTGCTTTACAATTACTATGAAATAATTGTTGCTAACTTTGAAGCGTATGTTTTTATGTTTTGTGCGAAAAATCCCAGAGTCGAAAAACATAGTTTTGCAATTTATCGATATGTCTGTGTGTGTATGTATGAGTGTGTACGTGTGTATGTCTGTGAACATAATAACTTGAGAACCGTTAAACCTAGGTTGATGAAGTTTTAAATTTAAGTATTATATCAAATTTGTAGTTCAGTAACAACTTTTCAGCGATTTCCTGTAACCGGAAGTGGAACTTTTTCTACTTTTGGTTGTTCAAAACACTACAACTTGAGTACTGTTTCAGATAGTTAATCGAAGATTCACGTAAAAGTATAAGATCTAATTCTCTGCCTTCTGTTAAAATTTGAGTAATTTACGTTGTACGAAAGTAGTACTTTTATTAAAATACGCATCTATATATATAATTCTCTTCTGGGTGCCGCTAGAAAAAAAGCTGCAAACGCGCTCCCTACCACCCTTACCCCTACATTGTCTGGTGAGCTGTGGTTCACTCTATATGTTTACAAACATTACAAACACAGCCGGGTTAAGTGACGACTATTAGGGGCAGATAATTTAGTTTGAAACGATTTTAAACGTAGGGGGGTAACTAAGTGGAGTTTACTTTAACGGAGGGGGGGGGGGGGTATCGTCCTTAACGAGCTACTTATAGTGTTTTAAAGAAATATTTTCAGTGGCAGCGTTTGTAGTGTCGAATTCACAAATTATAAATAACTGAAAAGTAGAAAAACAACAGCTAAATAGCGGTGTATTATATGCCGCGGGTCGGCTCGTTTGAATTAATACTAATGTTCCGCACTATTATACACACATTATTTGCTGCTTACTAAGTGCGTAATTCTTTTTTTCCTTCCATATTCTATTTTTAAAAGTTTAAGTGATAAAAAATCGATTAATAATGCGGAAGTGATCATGTCTATATCCTGATTTGCCATCCCATGTAGGGTTATATAAGAATATACTAGAAAGTTTAGGGGAGATCACTCCCACTTTATTTGTCATTGTATAAAGTTTCAATGTAGATGGTTGAGTTTGAGTTGCTTAAAGCATAAAATTCACTGTTTTTCATAAATAATGTTTACGATATGGTATGAATTCATGTTGAGATTACTGTACTGTTTTAAAGTCTATTTAAAAATCAGAAAGTGAAAACAAAACGAGATATAGATACTCATCTCGTCATTCGATATATAATCTACTTGGTACCATTGACTTGTCTTTCCACAAAGCGGATTTCAAATGGTAGAGGGGAGACAACAACGGCAAATGTTTCTTTAATCGGTGGGATGGAGTTATCTTTAGCTGGAAGGATTTCAAAGCTCTGAAACAAGGAAGACAAGTACAGAAAAAGTTCCATCTTGGCTAAAGATTCGCCTAAACAGATTCGCCGACCGATGGAGAAAGGAATGAGTTCCTCTCTGTTTTTGATGTTGCCTTGTTCGTCAAGAAAACGCTCTGGACGGAAGTTACGTGGGTCGCCCCAGATTTTTTCATCCATCAGGACGGCGTCCAGGTTAGGCAAGATTTGCGTCCCCTTGGGGATAGTGTAACCGGCTACTGTTGCGTCCTGATTGCAGACGTGGATCAGACTAAATGGCACCAGACTAGCCATCCGTTGTGTTTCCATGATAAACGCTGTCAGGTATTTGAGTTTGGGTCTATCTTGGATAGTCGGAGCGCGGTTCACTCCGACTTCTTCTAGAATCTCCTGGTAGATTTTTTTCTGAACTTCCGGATTATGGAGCACAAACAACAAGCTCCACAAAATGGTGGTGCTAGTGGTCTCCGTACCTGCGGCAAACAGGTTGTCAATAACTCGAACTAAATTAGTCTCGTCCAATAAAGTGGATTCACCACGCTTTTCTTTTTCTTTCATTTCGCTGAAGTAAGAGGCGATGAAATTGTCCGTGTTTGTGGAGTCGTGTTTAATTTCATCAATCATTTTCTTCGCAAAATTCTGGGTTGCACTTAAGTTAGCAATTAGCTGTTTGGACTTGAAAGGGTCAAAGGGCAAAAGTCGAAGTGCGGGCAGGAAATTTAGCAGAGAGGTTCCGGAAATAGATGCAATTGCTAAGTTTAAAGCTTTAATCAGTTCGATGAATTTTTGGGTCATCGAACTCAAATCTCTTGCCAAATAATTGAACAAATTATATTCGAAACGCTGATGTTGGTCAGAGTCCTGATGTCTGTAGGCTTTCCTCCACTTTCAGAAATTGCTTCAATGTATTTAGAAACCTCCACAGAGATCTTCTCAGCCAAAATATTTTTTCCCATGCCGAAGTTTCTTAAAATTGCCAGAGATGTTGTTCTTTGTTCTTTCCAATTGGCACCGGAAGAAGAAATAACGCCCTTGGAGTGTAAGGGTACATTGGCCGCGATAAATCCCGTTCTTGGCCGGTCAGAGAAGTGGTCACCTTGCTTGACCAGCGCCTCTTTCAGCACGTCGTACGTGTTGAGCACCACGACTTGGTTCATCCCAAACCTCAGGCTGAACGCCGGACCGAACCGTTTGACCCACCGTTCGAACTGTTTTCTGGGATTCTTCTCCAGCAGATACATGTGTCCGATGAAAGGTAAAGCTATCCCAGGTGACGGTGGGAGTTTTTTTGATTGGCTGGCCGTCCAGTACCAGGACAGGACCAAGACGAGCAGGACGGTCAGCCATGTGGTGGTTCCAACATCCGATAGTAGATCAAACACCATGGTGGTCTGTGGATGGAAATATTAAGTCAGTTATTTCCCTTTTCCATTTAGGTAAAATTTCTATTTAAATATATTGCGTATATGTGTATTTGCTAAACCTTTTGGTTGGAGATATGGAGATATATCGTAAATTATTTCCATTGCTTCTTTTTTTAAACCTTTGATGATCATATACTTTGTAGTTCATGTTTAATTTGGCAACACTATTTGATAAAAAATAAGTCTAACGATTTTCTGACGCTACAGGCTACAGCCTCTCATATCTGAACTGCCTGCGACAGGTCTGTGCAGCAGATGACTGCGTTACTTTATAGATTACTTCATTTAAGATTAAAGAGCATTTTTAGAGTTTTTCAAGGAAGCAAACCAAAAATTGAAAAATATATTTATTTATGAAAAAAGAATTACACATGAAAATTTCTTTGCTGAAAGATACATGTATTCTGAAATTAATTTAGAACTATTTTTTCTCAGATTCTACACACTTCCAGAAAGTGGGCCATGTTTCAAAGTGACAAATATATTTTTAGCTCCCCTTGAAAAAATCGAATTATACGGTCTCTTCGGCGAGGTGTGCTTTGAATTAAATGGGGACCAATTTTATGGGTTACACGCCTTCACAAAAGACTGCAACGCATACACGATACACACACTCACACTCACACTCACACTCACACTCACACACACACACATATATATATATATATATATATATATATATATATATATATATATATATATATATATATATATATATATATATATATATATATATATATATATGCATGTATATTTAATCGTCAAAGAGTTTGCTATTAAAATCTATAACAAGCTGTTGATTCAAAGAAAATGGAATATATTACGTAAAACATCATTTTAGTGTTAATTGGATAAGTACTTTTTCTAGATTGATGGGTTCCAAAATAATAAATTCCCCTGGGATTCTGAGGATATTTACTCAACACTGCCTAAAACATAAAATTACTCACCTAGTACTGTTAAATGTAATGGTCAAATTTCAACGGTCTGATTGTATTAGTGAACTTCTTCAGTACAGTTAGTTCTCCTCTTCGTTTGCAAAAGTCCACTCTTTAAACGCTTGTATAATCTCTCCACCGCTCTTTATATACAGCTATGTAGGTCATGTTACAGTTTTTAGACCAGGCAGAGCCAACAATTGGTAAAACTATTTTTAAAAATAAATTCGATACAGTTTTTGAACCGTGCGCAAGCCAGCACAGCTAGGAGTGAAGGTAGAAAATTGAGCGTGGAATAAATGGAACAGGAATTGATTTAACTCTTACTTGCCGGATGTGACGTAGAGTATGATGTAACCTCTACTGTATTTACCTAGGACGTGGCGAGACGCGGCAAGCGCAACGTAACAAGGTCAGATTGGTGAAGTTAGTTACACTTAGTTTTTCACGGACCAAAGCACTCAGGGTCGTTGGGGGAGGGGAGGAAAGGGCGGTGTAATGCAAATAAGAAGAACCACTAAATATCTTATGTATATTTAGAACGAAAAAAAAATCAAAACAATGAATATAAATTAAAAACAATTAAAACGAGTTTATGTTTAATAAATGTCTTCGCCCTTTTTAAAACTCTACAATACCAAAACATACCCGCCCATTAACAAAGGCGTAGCGAACCATTTTCCCGCCCCAAAATAATTTTTAAGAATCGTGGGGGGGGGGGGGGACATAATGCTTTTTACCAGCCACTGTCCCTCAACAGTTTCTGCAATGGTGTCAGAAAATTGATGTAGAGAACAATTAAATCAATCTGTAAAGCCATTTATCTGAGTTTTTTCTCTAAATAAAATATTGCATATTAATGCAGCTCAGCTAAAGCGTTTACTTTTCTCTACCCGTTTTGTGCCCCTCTAGGGTAGGCTGCAACACCCGCTCTCCCTTAGCTACGCCTTTTTCCCTATGTTCAGCCGTTGTTACAAAAAAAGACAGCGCCCCCCCCCCCCCCTCATAACATAGTAAAGCAATTCCATTGTCTAATTTTATAACGAAAATGTTTTCCAGCGATTTTTTTAGAGTTACAAATGAATTGAGTAACAGTTGAAAACTATAATTGTGATAATGAAGTAAGGTGGTGGACTACGTAAATGCTCACTCCCAGTGTTTCTTTCAGTCATTTTTCTCAGTTGAGGGGCACTTAAAACTATCGAGTTGAGCGGGGAGGGGGTTAAATTTCGGGGGGGGGGGGTCGGTTTAAGTTTTTTAAATCTAATATATAAAGCTCAGTTCTGTATGTAATGCATATGTTTGTCGTTGGTCTTGGATGGATTTAAGTGTTAGAAAATCATCGTGCGCATTTGTCTAAATTTATGAGATAAAAAATTACTATTGAAAGTGTTGGGAAATAATTTTCATTTTTCAAATTATAGTAATAATTGTCGGCATGTTCATTAAACACAATTTTAAAAAAAATATCATCTTTTACAAAAATTCTAATTATGTCTTTATTTAGTCCTATAGCACTTACTTCCCTTTGATAAATTAGGAAAACAAAATTACTTCCCTTTATAAAACCATTGCATTTTGTGGAAAATAATTTACTTTTTAATTATTTTGTTTTGGTGTTGGGAAAAAAAATAATTACATAATTAGCGGGGATTGATCAAGTGCAAATGTTGTAGGTATTTTACGGATAAGCTTGGAGTATTAAAATTGTTCATTAAATTGAAACAGGCGCGTTCGTTTAAGTGAGTGCAAAAGACTATGAATAAGTTGGGGTACTATAGTCGTTCATTAAGCTAAAACAGGTGATTCCGCCCCGGGCGTTTATGTTCGCGTTAGTGTTTTCTTTGTGTTTAGGTGGGTTTGCGTTAGTGGTTTCGTTTTGATTTGGTTCGTTTTTGTTATTTCTTTTTTCGTTTTTGTTTGTGTTTTTTTTTTGTTTGGGTTTGTATTTGTGTTTTTGGTTGGTTTTGCGTTTGGATTTGGTTTGTTTTCGTTTGCTTTTTCGTTGTTTTTTTTTGTTGGTATTGGTGTTTGTGGTTGGGTTTGTTGTTAGGTTTTTGTTTTCGTTTGCTTTTTTTTTTGTTTTTTCTTTGTGTTTGTATTGGTGTTTGTGGTTGTGGTTGGGTTTGTTGTTAGGTTTTTGTTTTCGTTTGTATTTGTAATTGTGTTAGCGTTATGTTTGCGTTTTGTTGTTTTGGTTGGTTGTGGTTTGGGTGGGCAATGCCGGGTTTATGATGATTACTAAACACACAGGTAATGGTCTTTAACAGAAAGGTTTTTCACAGAAGCCAGAGCAGGGCCTGGTCGGGACGGCTAGTATATATATAAATTCTATTTCGTTCGTACTTCGGCAGTGCATCCCCCCTTCCACCTTCCCCCTTCCCTCCCTGAAAAAAATGCCTGAATTTTTGCTAACACCTGACGTGGAGCGTATGACGTGGAGCGTGACAACACCTGACCCTGATGAGGTTTACATTTTTATACACATGTGTCGCATGGTAGACTAAGTAGGCGAGTTGACGTGTTGGCTGTCTACTTCTAGTAGGAAGGACTATGGTCGATGTATTACAGGTAACAGAAAGTGGAAGAAGGTTTGAATGTTAGTGCGGGGGAGGGGAGGAGTGGCAAATCTTGTGGGCCGTGGGATTTATCGAAAGGCGAATTAGCATTGAGAAAATCAAATAACCTCAACAAAATTTAAAGTGAAGTCTTGGATCAAGTAGTTAATGAACTGGTTTTACGCCCATGTACTTTTGGCTATCGCCAATTTTAATCAGATTATGAAAGACGTTGCATAACCCCCCCCCCCCCCCACATTCCCTGTCATATTACATCACAGCTCAACATAACCTCCCAACCATATATATATATATATATATATATATATATATATATACATATATACATAAGGGTTTATAATAATTGGCTGAGTGTATATGGGAGATTCCAATAGTGAGTTGACGGGGTAAGGTAGGTTGAGATTGTAAGGGGAGGGTGACCCTGATTGTAGTGGAGTTATAGGCAGTGATTGAAGTGGAGATATAGGCAGTTATTGAAGTGGAGATATAGGCAGTGATTGCATTTGAGATATAAGCAGTGATTGCATTGGAGATATAAGCAGTGATTGCATTGGAGATATAAGCAGTGATTGTAGTGGAGATATAGGCAGTGATTGCATTGGAGATATAAGCAGTGATTGTAGTGGAGATATAGGCAGTGATTGAAGTGTAGATATAGGCAGTGATCTAGCCCTAGGTAGAACGATACATTATATTCTTCCATAAGCCAGATCATATACTCTGAGCTGGTACACTATGTTTCTATGTACCCGAGGTGGAAAAGTAGAGCAAACAACGGTAATATTTCGGTGAATTTTTACGTGTAGGTAACGCATTGATTAAACTCTCCTAATATTTTTAGTCAAACTTTATTCTTTCCGGCAGCAACGCGCGGGGACCGGCACGCTAGGTTATATAAACGCATAGTATGCGGTTAAGAGATCTCTTGACGACGAAAATAAAAAATATGACGTCAATAAAATGCTTATGTGCTTTATGCTTTATTTTTATTCTCCTTTTCACTTTTTTTTTGCCTGTGTGGGAGGGGGGGGGGGAGGATGCGTAAGGGGGGGGGGGGGGGGCTGAGGTGCGGTGTACACTAACTGCTTAGTTGGCTAATAATACCTTCGCCATTGAAATGTTGAGATCTTATTGTCAAAAGACAGATGAACCCGTAGTCAAGCGAGGTAACTACTGTTCGTTTTAAAACTACCTGATTACAACCCATGAAGTTTTATTTGCTATAACTAAGGAATTGTGAACACATTGGATGGAGTATGGGAAGGTATATGTTTATTAGGTTGCTTTACAATTTAGTTAGGGGTAGATGGTGGTTAATTTTTTTATTCATCACCATCTTTTCCTAATCGTGCCCAACACACACGAGGCTGACGAAGTACAGTATTTCTGTTTCATAGACCTCGGCATATGAAGTATAGAGAAAGTCATGTAATCGTGCAAAAAA